ATGGATTGATACAGTGGCTGCGATGATGGGCTCGAGTATAGGATGGATTGTGGGGCTGGCGCGGGATCGGGCAGTGTTTCCTTCTGCTGTGCATGGGGTCGCTATGAGTCGGAAACGACTCGACGGCACTTAACAACAACAACAACAGTTGGGTCCTACATCAAAGTCTTGAAAAACTTTATAATACTATGCAGATGTTTTGCCACTTATAGAAAGTAGTCATACAGTAAGAAATGGTCTATTTGAAACAATAAGCAATGTGTCTTTCCAACAGATAATGATTCCACACGAAAACCGAACCAGTGAGGCCATGTACAACAAAATGAACATTTCTGAACTGAGTGCTATGATACCCCAGGTTGGTAAAAACTATCCAGGAAAGTCTGTCTTAACTGATCATTTTACAAGTGATTGCGTTTTATATGTGTTTAAATTTTTGCCTTGTAATACCAATCAGTCTCTTCAGTTATTATCATCTTTGTTGACCATCCCATCCTGTGTCCTTTTTCCGTGCATCAGTAAGGAATGCTTTCTCTTTCCAGCAGTGGCTTAAAAACTTAAAGTCTGTTTTCCTATATGAGAAAAGCCTAAAATTAGGTGATTGTTGGTATTGATCCATCTGTTTAATAATGCCAAAGACCAAAATTCTTTTTATCTTTCTCTTCCACTCTTCTTATTGTGTTGGTTTTTGACTTCATGTTTGGCGACCCCTAGTTGCAAGATAGCTACCACAGCTCCATGTATCACATCTGCCATCAGGGCAGGAAGAAGGGGGAAGAGCCAACGATGGTATGTCTGATTCTTTTTATTAGGATAAACTAAAGCCTTTCCAGAATATCTCCAGATGTCTTCCCTTTATTTCTTATTCAGTAGAATCACATGGCCACCCTACCAATATGCGAGGCTGGGTTTCTCATTTCATTAGTGGAGGCAGGCAAGGGAGTAAAGATGAGAAATCACTTTTAAGGCAGCCGATCAAAACACCAAATTGTATTTTAGGTTATACAGTGTTGCTCTGAAGGATGGATATATGTGAGCTTTTGTTGCTGCTTGTTTCCCTGTGTTTAGAAAGGCCATGTCAGGGCGAAGATCAGTACTTTCCTGGGATGATCTGTATGCCAGTAAACAAATGAAGGTGTGTGAGAGAGAGACAGTGATAGTGAGTGTTTGAGCATGCAAGCACACACGTTGTAGTGCAAGAAGGGAGGAGAGGAGTGTACAGGAGAGAGAGAGAATACAGGAAGGATGGAGGGAGTTAGGAGAGCAGAAGGGGAGAGGGCGCAGAGCATGCATATCACTGTGAGTGTGTGTGTTGTCCATGTGTAGGTCACAGCAGAGCACATGTTCTGCGTATGATTAAGGCATTGGGTCTGGGTAGCAATGCTCAGGAATTTATTCTCTAGATGCGAGCAGTTACATCTTTGGCTAATGATTTGTTCTGAAATTGCAAGCAGTGGGTTATGTCTTGTCTTTCTCCTCTCTTGCTGCCTTTCTTCATTTCCTAGGGCTACCATAACAGAATACTACAAACGGGACAGCGTCCAAGGACAGAAATCTATGGTCTCACATTTCTGGAGGGTAGAAGTCCAAATCTGTGTGTCCACCAGGGCATGCTCCCTTTGAAGGCTCTAGAGGAAGATCTTTCTTACTTGGTTAAGGAGATGTTTTATTTCTTCATCACACTCTAGCTTTTGTTGTTATTAGTTATTGTCAAATCGATTCTAACTCATGGTGGCTTCATATGTGTAGAGGAGAACTGCTCTATAGGGTGCCCTTTTGATATCAGATCGGCAGCCCTGTCTTGAGGTGCTTCTGGGTGAATTCGAATTGCCAACCTTTCAGCTACTAGCTGAGCACTTAACCCGTTTGCGCCACCTAGCGACTCCTAAGATCTTTTTTCTTTGATTGTAGTTTGGGTGAAAGTTTACAGGGCATGTTAGTTTGCCATTTAACAATTTATACACAGTTTGTTTCATGACATTGGCTGCAATGTCTTCAGTGTAATAGTATTTCCTCCTGGCTTTTCTGTGTCCGTCCATCCTCTTGCTTGCCCCTTCCTGCCTTCTGCCTTCGTTTTTGGGCACAGGCTGCTCTTTGGTCTTGTATGTTTGGTTGTTCTGAGGAGTATATTTCTCCTTGGTGTTATTATTCATTTCATAGGCCTGTCGTTTGGCTGAAAGTTGATCCCTTTCAAAAAGGGTGTGTCAAAGGGCCATAGTCTCGGGGGGGTCCACCAACCTCTCACAAACCAGTGAGTCTGGTCTTTTTGGTGATTTTAAATTTTGTTTTACTCTTTTTTACTCCTGCTGTTCTGTTCAGAAATTTCTATTGTGATCCTGATCAGAGTGGTTGGTAGTGTTAGCCAGTTACCATCTAGTTCTGGTGGAAGATCCTTTCTTATCTCTCCTAGCTTTGGGGAACTCTGCCAAAACAACCACAAAACCCACTGCCATCGAGGTAATTATAATTCATAGTCACCCCCATTGGGTTTCTGAGGCAGTAAATCTTTACAGAAGCAGATGGCCCAGTCTTGCTTCTATAGTGTGGGTAGCAGTGAGATGCTTAGCAGTGAGATGCCTTGAGTGCTGTGCTACCAGAGCTTCTTTTGGTTTTTGGTTTGGTGGCATAGTGGGTAAAACATTTGGCTAACTGGAAGGTCAGTGGTTCAAACTCACAACGTGATCCATGGGAGGAAGGTGAGGCAATCTACTTCCATAAAGATTTACGGCCTTAGAAACTCAAAGGGGGTCACTATGAGTTGGAATCAACTTGATGGCAGTTGGGTTTTTTTTTTTGTTTGGTGATTTCTTGGCTTGTAGTTGCATCTTCAGATGGCTATATTCCCGGTCTATGTCTCTCTTCTGTATAGTTGTGTTGGATTAGGGTTCACCCTTCTCCAGTCTGACTTCATGTTAATTTAACTGATAAGATCTTCAAAGACTATTTCCAGACAAAGTCACATTCAAGGTACCAGGTGTTAGTATTTTGACATACCTCCATATCTTCGTGGGGGACACAATTCAATCCACAACACTGCCTAATCGAGGTTACCTCACTTGCTTTTCTCTCTCACTCCTCAGTTCGACTGGCTGGGCTACATCAAGAAAGTCATCGACACAAGACTCTACCCCCATCTGAAGGATATCAGCCCCTCGGAGGACATAGTCGTCCGTGTCCCACAGTACTTTAAGGATTTGTTCAGGATTTTAGGCACAGAGAGGAAGAAGTAAGAACTGTCATGCGAATTTTACTGAGTCCTGTGTTTTTCCTTTAACTTATAAGGGTTTTCATTCTGATGTCCTTTGGAAAGTGTGTGTGTGTGTGTGTGTGTGTGTTTTCAAAGGTACATCAAAGGAATCACGGGGAAAATCGCAGTGTCCTTTGTGACAAATTGGTCCAAACCACCGTTGGGCGTAATTTATTCTTATATACAGTATTCTTACTCCCAAATTACTGTGTAATTTATACACAAGATTCTTGCCCCTTATTTCTGGTCTGTCTCAGTACTGTTCTCTCTGAAGGCCTAAATTGTTTATCATTTCTGGAAACTAGTAATATAATGGTGTTATTTTCTGAGATTTCTACATGAACATCTTCTCTTTTTCCAGTTCATTTTCGGTCGTTTGCTGCTTTTTTCTGATTTCTTTTCCAGCCAATAAGTGGCTTTGTGGCAATAAACCAAAATACCTACACTGTGCAGATAAAAGGCCACTAGAACAGCTGTAGAAAAATTACACTAATGAAACAACTTCAGGAACTGTCAAGTTTTCCTCATTTTAGAGGATATTTTAGAATGTGTTAATTTGCTACTTTAGCACTACAAAGAAAGGCAGTCCTGAAAATGCCAGGGTTGGGGGTCGAGGAGAGGATTTTGCATGTTTGTTGAGCTGTTCATATTTGACTCCAGATAATGAAGCTCAGAAGGGTCAACTAGTTGAAAAGGACAATTTACTAAGCTAATTGCTGGGCCAAGATTAAAAATGCTATTTTCTTATTTGGACTCAAACAAGGCTCTGTTGCCCGGAGGTATGTACAAGAGTCATAAGAATAAAGTTCAACATCCATCCTCCTCTATGGAAGCACTTGGACACCTTTGAGGAGTTTCTGTTCTTTTTAAATACAATATCTTCTGGTGATAAGCGTAATATGTACTCACTTGAAGAAAACCTTCGGGAAAGTAAACACACAGAAAAGGAAGAGAAGAAATAACTCACTTGAAACACTACTGTTTAGACATAAGCAGGGATTCTTTGAGAAATTTCTAAATGAAAATTTGTATCTAGGGCAGGTGTGCATGGTTGTTTTTCCAGTTGCCATCAAGTGTACTGTGGTCCAACCATGGTGATCCCATGAGTGTCAGAGGAGAACTGTGCTCCAAAAGGTTTTCAGAGGTTGATGTCCAGGCCTTTCTTCCGAGGGGCTTCTGAGTGGCCTTAAACTGATAGCCTTTTGGGTACCAGCAGTCTGTTAACTGATTGCACCACCCCTTGCTATTCAAAGTGTGTTGCATGGATCAGTAATACCAGCAGCATCACGTTGGGCCTTGGTCAAAAATACAGAACCCTAAGCCCCCTTCTCCACAGATTCTGATTCAATAGATCTGGAACGAGGCCCAGGAATCTGTATTTTTAACAAGCACCCTAGGGAGTCTTATAATTAGGTTTTAGGGGGAATCACTGCATTAGAGGACTTGTATTTAAGTACTTTCTAGCTCTGAAATACTATAAAATATGACCCAAATGATTTTCTACTCCTATTTCATTGAGTTACTTGGCCCATTTACTATTTTGGTGGTAATTTCAGTTGCAAGGTATAGTTTGTCACGCTATATATTTATTCTTTAGCATCTAAAATGCTAATTTCTACTAGCATTGGTGTTACTGTCAGTTGTAAGGTAATAGGTACTTTTGGAAATTGTATTAGTTAGATTTCCAGAGATATCACATTTACAGCCAGTAGATAGATTGGGCCTTGGTTTACTGTATCGGAGAAAATCATCTCTATGCTAACGGTCAAATTTTAGAATTACAGAACCTTCTACAATGAAAGGCATCAGGACAGGCTGTGATTAGAGGCAGATTTTAATTAGGTTCTTGTCAAAATGGTAATTTGTGCGAATGTAAATAGAGTGCATGACAGTAGGCAAAAATATGGACAGAAAAGTTTACCTGGAGACAATGTATGTATGTATGTATACATATAACTTCATTTTAAAACAAAGACAAGAACAGATTTCTTTTACAGAGTTGTTTATTGCCCAGCAACCAGTTCATCAGAAACAGCTTGTATTTTTTGTATTCTTGTGAGATTTCCAGCCACTGGACAAATCTTGAGAATACTGATAACAACAGAACTTTGAATGGTTCATTCTGGTTCAGTCGCCTGCTGAGAATTTGCATTTCCACCCCAGATGTACTGAATCAGAATCTACATTTTCACAAGATCCCCAGGTGCATCTTGTGGAATGTACATTAAATTCTTGTTCAAATGTAGCTCGTTGCTACATTGCATTCCTCTACTTTATTTATTGCTATTTGGGAAAATTTTCGTACTGTTGAAAATACTTTTCAGGGGGGAAAAAGCAATTATGTGTTATTTTCAAGGGCTGTTGCTAAGTCTGATTTTTTTTTTTAATCTATCTGAGCATTAGGTGGCAGTGATTCTGTCATTATGGCCATGTCTATTCCTGGCATAATAATATTAGCACTCCAGAGCGGCAAGCCACAGCGTCCTGTCAGTCTATTTATGCCATGTGGAGAAACTCGTCAGTGCCATTGCCTCGCTGTGTGAGCTTCTTCCCATTCCACCTTCTAGCTCTTGTTATGCCATCGTCTTAGTAATGCCTTGGCCCTGAAGGCCTCACACACTATTCTGTTTGGATACCCACAGATTGCGATGAAGCACCATTGTCAGAGTTTCTTGGGGTCTGTGCGACTGGCCAGGAAATCTTTGCTGGATTAGAGGTGTTACTTCATCCCTGTGGAGGCTGTGAAAACACAGTCTTTAGAGTTGGAACCACTTGGCCCTAGCTTAGTATTCATTCCTTATTACAGCGTTTCTCCAAGTTGGCTGCACATCGGACTTAGCTGGGTTCTACCCCAGAGGTTCTGATGTAATTGGTCTGGGGAAGCCTGGGCATCTGGACTTCTAAAACTTCCAGGGGAATGTACTGAGGTTGAGACCCATTGAGTTGTGAGGAGCTACTTAATGATTCTAAGCCTCAAGTTTTCTTATAGATCAAATGGATATGATACTATCTCTCCTGTAGTGATGCTGTGAGGGTTATAGATAACATGAGATGCCTACCTAGCATGATTTTAGGGGAAATGGACAGGCCTATGCTTCTACAACCCCAACATAGTTCCTCCATACTGTCTCTTCCACTGCAACCATCGGGTCCCATTCTAACCACTTTCGCAGTTCCTCTGGCTCATTATCGTCCTTTTGTCCTTTTGAGAAAATCCCTTTTGAATTCATTAGGGACATTTGCTGGCCGTTGACTTTCTAATCTGCACCTGTGGATCTAGCACAGCTCTTAAACCCAGCAAACAGTATTTTAACACTGAAGAACATATAGCCTTGTACGAGGGTCAGGGTCTGACTGTTTAATGTTCTAGACACTGGGCCTTGATTGCTGCCTGTGTTTCCCTAACATAGCCTCCCTGCCTACCTCCTCAAGTGATGACCCTGCTCACCTTCCTCTCCAACACATTGGCTCATTGCCATACCTGTTCAGAATCCATGTTCCTGCTTCACACATCAAAACCTTCCAAGCTTAGGCACAGCTCAAGCCCTGTCCCTCTCCTGAAGCCTACCCATATCCCCCAGTTTGAGTTGTGTCCTCCTTTGGGGAGGTGTCTAGCACACACTTTGTGTGTCCTCCCTTCTAGATGCTAGGGTCTACAAATTTATTATGTACTCATTTTATCTCCCCTGCTCAGCTGAAAGTTTCCAGAGATCAGAAACTGTCTTCCTCACATTTCCATCTTCACAGCACCTAGAACTTTAGTATGTATCTTGGTACTCAGGATGTATTGGCTGGGTAAATGAAAGAAGGATCCCTTATGTACTTAGAGTATGTCCTTTAAATTTAAAAAAGCTGATTATACCAACAGTTCAAATGTGAAGTTATATGTCCCCGACTAGACTCTCAAGTTCTCTGAGTATAGGGGCTGGGTTCCTATTGCTTTACATTCTTCAGAGCATCTGGCACATTACTTGGCCACCAGTAAGTGCTCAATGAACACTTTTTGTCTTGCTTAGGAGTACAGATGTGAATTCAAACACTCCACAGGAATGAGCAAAAGCGCATACTTACTGCAGCAGTCTCCACAGAACCTGGGTGAGGCTGGACATTGCTGGTTAGAGCAGTGGTCTCCAAAGGGGAGGGTGCATACCCCAAATACAACCCATCGGGTCCAAGGAAATTTTAGAATTTCTGTACACTGTTGGTTTTTTACTTAAAAGATTATTAGATTTTATTGGGCAATCTACTTCTGTAGCCACACCACCTTAGAAACCCAAGGAGGGGTCACTATGAGTTGAAACTGACTTGTCGGCAGTGAGTATGAGTATATAATATGTAGACAGACATGGACATTTCATTTGATGGATATAGTATACATGATAGGGGTTAGTATCACCCACACTTGTTTTTAATTTGATATTTTGAAAATAATGGCAAGCAGTTTATACATACCTATGTTGTTGTTGTTGTTGTTATGTGCCATCGAGTCGGACCTGACTCATAGAGACCCCTCCTTGGGTTTCCGAGGCCGTATCACTACGGAAGTAGATTGCCCAATCTTCCTTCCGAGGAGTGGCTGGTGGATTTGAACCGTCAGCCTTCTGGTTAGCAGTCAAGAGC